TGGTTTGTATTGGCCCGAATATATTTGTATAATGTTATCATATCCCCTCTCAGGCGACGTTTTTCTAAACTAAATAGGTTTAAATTTGTTAACCTTTCTTCATAGCCGATATGTTCCATTCCTTTTATTAATTTTGTAGCCCGCCTCTGCACTTTTTCTAGTGCCATAATATCCTTCTTTAGAACAGGTGCCCAAAATTGCACAGCATATTCAATATGGGGTCTTACCAGTGATTTATAAAGAGGCAAAATTATATTCTTGTCCCGAGAATGAATGCCCTTTTTCATGCATGACAATACCTTACTGGCCTTGGCTACTGCTGATTGACATTGCACATTGTTGCATAGTTTGTTGTCTATAACAATTCCCAAGTCCTTTTCATGTGTTGTTATCCCTAATTCGCTTCCATTAAGGGTATACGTTGCTTGTGTATTCTTTACGCCGAAGTGCATAACTTTGCATTTTTCAACATTAAATTTCATCTGCCATTTGAGTGCCCAGTCCCCCAGTCTATCTAAATCCCTCTGCAGCAAAGTAATATCTTGCTCACATTGTATTATTTTACAAAGTTTTGTGTCATCTGCAAACACTGAAACATGACTTTCAATGCTGTCTTCAAGATCATTTATAAACATGTTAAATAGAAGGGGTCCCAGAACAGACCCCTGAGGGACACCACTTGCCACCTCTGTCCAGCTTGAAAATTTACCATTAATGACAACTCTTTGTACTCTGTTTTTAAGCCAATGTTCTACCCAAGAACAAGCATTTTCATCTAGACCGATTTCCTTGAGTTTGAACACTAATCTATTGTGTGGAACTGTATCAAATGCCTTGGCAAAATCCAAAAGATCACATCCACGGCAACACCCTGATCTATACTTCTACTTACTTCTTCGTAGAACGCAATCAAGTTAGTTTGACATGACCTGTGCTTCATAAAACCATGCTGATTTTTGCTGATAACCATGTTCTTCTCAAGGAATTCTTGAATATTATCCCTTAATAAACTTTCAAATATTTTACCAGCCACAGAAGTTAAGCTCACAGGTCTATAATTTCCAGGCAAGGATTTTGAACCCTTTTTGAATATAGGAACCACATCTGCCTTCCTCCAATCCTCCGGAACACTTCCTGAAAGAAAAGAATCTTGAAAGATTAAAAACAGAGGTTCACTTATTTCTGCACTTAGTTCCTTAAGTACACGTGGATGGATACCGTCAGGCCCTGGAGCTTTGTTTATATTAACTTTCTTTAGTTGCTGCAGCACCTTGTCTTGAGTTAACCAATTACAATTATTCTGCAAGTTTTTAGTAGCAATCATTTGCACATCTATTGCCATGGGTTCTTCCTTAATATATACGGAGGAGAAAAAGTTATTTAAAATTCCTGCCTTTTCCTGGTCTTCATTAATTAACACCCCCGTTTCAGTTTTTAGTGTACCTACACTTTCATTTTGGTTTTTTTTTAGAATTTATGTACTTAAAAAATGCTTTGGGGTTGGTTTTGCTCTCTTCAGCTATCATTATTTCATTTTGAAGTTTAGCAAGTCTAATTGCCTTTTTGCACGCATTATTTGCATCCTTATATCTTTTATAAGATGCATCTGATTTGTCCGATTTAAATGCTTTAAATGCCCTTCTCTTAGTTGTAATCTCTTGTTTTACTTCTCTACTAAGCCATGTTGGTTTTAATTTGTTTCTTTTATATTTATTTCCCAATGGTACATACTGAGAAATGTACCTTTGTAATATTTGTTGGAAGATGATCCATTTATCCTCAGTGTTCTTTTCACTAAAGAGTTTATGCCAGTCAATATATTGTAAAGCTTCCCTTAACTTATTGAAATTGGCCTTTTTAAAATTATATGTTTTAGTATTCCCCATGTGCTTTTGTTTTTTTGAGTTTATTTCAAAGGACACTATATTGTGATCACTATTTCCCAAGTGCTCACCTACTTGAATGTTGGTCAAAAGATCAATCATCTTGTGCTGAAAGGAGGATTCCAGCTTCTCTAGCATGGTGGCGAGGTCTGCCTTGGAGGGGAGATTTTGAAGCAGGACCTTTATATCTTGGTCCGCAGGGGCTGCTGAGGCCTCTGAAGCAGCCAGGCTAGGCGGGTTGGAGAGGTGCTCTCCCACCGTCGGCGCCATGTTTGCCTCCCCTTGATCCGGCGTGCGGCCGGCATAGTCTTTAAATAGCTGTGATACCGGTCGCGGTTTTTCGGCAGGTGCTTTCCCGCTGCTTGTGTGGGCGCTCTGCGCCCGTTTGGGATTCCCCATGTGTGTGGATGTTCGTCCCCCCGCTGTGTTCAGTGCCTGCGGTGCCGGAGCCGACCTAACATGCGGCCATCTTCGTCGACGGTCGGCCACGCCCCCCTCTCTATCTTTTTTTAGAAGGTGCCAGTGTCTCTTAATAATTGACATAACTTTCTTAGAATCCTGATTAAAATCTAAAACTAAAGGTACCTTATCAAATTTATTTTGTACATCACTATAGTTACTTTGTTTAAAAACTAATTCATTTTGATTGAATTCTTTAATTTCATCATAAGCTCTATTTAATATGTTAGTGGGATATTGTTTTTGAGAGAATTTATCTATCACTATTTTTGCTTGTTCCTCAAAAACATGTTGTTCAGTGCAGTTCCTTCTTATTCTTTGTAGTTGACCTTTTGGAATATTATTCAGCCATGGGGTGTAGTGTCCACTGTTATATAAAACATAACTGCTGGCATCTACTTTTTTAAAAAAAGTTTTTTGTTTTTAAAATATCTAAAAAATTTATATTATGGCTATTAAAAGAACTGCTAAAATTTAAACCCCACTCATTTAAATTGATACTTTCTAAAAAAAAAAAAGCTCTAGATCCAATTGTGTGCCTTTCCATATAAAAAATATATCATCTATATATCTATGATAGGAGACCAGGTTCGTCCCCCAGTTCTGGCTGGTGTAAATAACTTCTGTTTCCCAGCCTGACATAAATAGATTGGTGTAACTAGGGGCAAACCTGGTCCCCATAGAAGTACCTTGTAATTGTAGATAAAATCTGGAGTTAAAATTAAAATAATTACTTTCTAAGATCCATCTAATGCTGTCAATTAAAAACAAAATATGTTTGTTGCTAAAATTGCCCGATTTTTCCAAAATTTCCTGAATTATTTTACATCCCTTGAGAGATGGAAGTGTAGAGTGACGTTACCAAAAAGTAACCATCCTCCCATTTTGTTTTTTTTATAATCTTTATTACATCTGTAGTGTCCTTAAGATATGATGGCATGTCTTTAACTAAGTCTTGTAGCCAAATATCCACGTATTTGGAAAGATTAGCTGAAATGGATCCAATACCGGACACAATCGGCCTGCCCGGAGGGTTCTCTAGATTTTTATGTATCTTGGGCAAGATATAAAATACAAGTACTCTGGGAAATTCAACTAGTAAAAACTTATATTCATTTTCATTTAAAATACCTTCTTCTTTACCTTTTTTTAAAAGGGTTTCTAATGAAGTTTTAATCTCTATAATTGGATCTTTTTCTAATGTCCTAAATATCTTTTTATCTTCCAATTGTCTGTAACATTCTTTTAGATAGCTCGTAGTATCTTGAATCACAATACTGCCCCCCTAATCAGCAGGCTTTATTATTATTTCTTTGTTTCTCAAATTTTGTAGAGCCTTATATTCATTAAAAACTTAAATTCAAATCCCATTTTTGCTTGCATTTCCCTAATTTATCGAAATCCTCAATAAGCGATTTTTCAAAAAATTCTATAGCATTATTTTTTAAAACAGTTGATTGTCGCTTTTCTTAGAATCCGTATATTTATTAATTTCAAAAAAATCGTTTTAAAGTGAGTGTTCTGGAGTATTTCAATATATCAATATATGCTGAAAAAGAATTAAAATTTCTACTGGGGGCAAATTTCAAACCTTTATTAAGAGTTCTAATTTCATCATTGTTCGGAACGAAATTGGATAAATTAATTACTCCCTTCAATTGGACATTCTTCCTTTTTTTTCGCTGTTGTAACCTTGTTCCTCCTCTGCATCCTCTCTGTCCCTCCTTCTTTTCAGGGGGGAAAAGGAAACCTTTCCCCTCGTCTTCCCTAAAAAATCATTCTGTCTAGAGTCTGATTGATCTCGTGATAGAACCTCATATCTTTTTGATAATGCCAAATCTCTATTTCTATATAAGGGACTTTTATTTCTTTCGGATCTATTATAATACCTGTTACGAGGTTCCACTTTTTTCCATTCATTTCCCTTATTTACATCTGAGGTTCTCCACTTGGGGATGTCCCGTTTAGGGGTATTATAATTATCTGTTCTCCTTCTATTGTATCCATTTTGTTTATACTTATAATTAATTGATCTTCTACTGCTGTATTCATTATTTTCACGATCAGTATTATTTCTCTGATGGTAGTTTCTAACCTTCTCATATTTATAATCATCCATATCTCTTTTATACTTTTTATATTTCATTTGTTTTACCTGCTCTTCCAATTTATTAATGTTAGCTTTGGTAGATTTAGTCAATTCCTCATAATCTTTAGTCTCAACTGCTGGTTCTAAAACTTTTTGTATTTCCTTGACCTCTTTATCTATATCAGTCAAATTTTCACTTCTACATAGTATAACTATGTTCATCATCTCCATTGAAAATCTTTCAAGAGCATCATTCCACATATTTACATACTTCTGATTCTTATTTTCAAATGTGGGGGTTTTGGAGAATCTGAGGCCCCTCGGGGTAATTTTATCCCTCAGATTTCTCTCTAGTGTAGCAATCTACACCCTCACACTCTACCAAGCCGGAGTGCCCCACACGCAGCATACCCTAGGCAGGGCGTCCAACAACCTCCCCACAGATTGGGAATCGGATACGCTGGTAAAAAGACACGGTCTGCCTGCTGACCGGTCGCAGTGAAGACGCCGGCACAGATGAACCTCAAATCCTACTCAACCTGGCAGACTCTTGTCACTAAGCTTCCATCCATGGACATAGACTTATGCTCGTAACTATTTGCCCTAGCACCAACTCCAACTATGCTTAGCTAGACACACTGTCTACAGATAACGCAGCATGATTTACACAAAGCACCAAGCGAGAAACACACTCTAGAAAATCACACTAGCAAACCACAGAGCTTAGACATCCACTTTAAATAGAGAAAGTGTTACCATGCTTAACCCTACTGTAAAGATGCACAGATTGTTAAACTCAAAGTCCACCTATACCCTGCTAATACACTTAAGCTTGTACACTTATGCTTGTTCACCTACTCTAATTTAACTTAAACCATATTGCTCATAGCTTGTTTATTTTATCGTTACCTTAATCATATAAAAATTTATGCATACCCAACACGCCGCAATACTGTTATAATCTGACTATGAAAATCGAGCCTGCTGATGCTGTTGTGGCGATACAGGCACTGTTGTACCTACCTGCATACCAAAAATAAAGAATTTTTAAAAAAATCCTTTTTAGTTCTCGTCCTTGCTTCAGACAATTTAATTGATCAAGAGCCATTGTTGTAAACTTTTCGGATCTTTAACAGCTCCGTTTTTTCTCTGAAGAATATTTTTATTCCAATAGGAAAAATCCATGAGTATTTTTTACTGTTGTTCCTTAATTTAGCAGTATGAGCCATAAAAGGCTCTCTGGCGTTCCTGTTGGCGAGGGATATATTGTTAAAAACGTTAAATTTAGAGTCCTTTAAATACTTAGTTTTTAAAGGCTGTTGGTGATCTTATCCTTGAATGCAAGGAAATGTAGACGCGCTATTACCTCTCTTGGTAATAGTTCAGTAGACTAGTGGCTTTAGGGATCCTATGAACACTCTCAATGATGTATGGTATATTATCCAGTTATAGACCCAATAATTTGAAGAAGTCTTCCAAGTATTGCTCCAGTTGTGCCTGTGTTATACTTTCTGGGATTCCCCTTATACTTATGTCATTTCTATGTGCTCTGTCCTCACTGTCTACAGCTTTCGCTACCAAATGATCAATTCTTCGTTCCAGTGTCTTTCCTCTTTCCTCTATTAGGCTATTTTGTACTAATAGTGGCCAAAACAAAAAGGGTGGAACAGCGCTACAAAACTGATCACAAAAAGAAAGGAGGCTGCACTCCTGAAAGGAATGATAACCCTTAATCCCTTCAAAGATACTGGAGAGACAGAACAAGGGTTACATGGTGTGTCAACCAAAACAGAAAAACAACTTATGGTAAAAATACAATAAAAAGGTACCAAAAGCAAGCAATAAAAAGTCTCTAGATATATTTAATCGTCAAGTATTCATGTGAGTATAAAGACTGACCCAAATGTACAGGTAGTCACAAGAGATTACTTTTATTTAACAAAATATAAAAACACAATGCGTTAGTTAGTATAGTACTATAAAAACATAAAAACTCTGTTCACGGATATTCCTTTTCATGACATTGTTCATCATTGAATGTTACTGTGAAAGTTTGACTTATTGTAAATCTTCGTATATGCAAATGTCCTCTCACTCTTGTGAGATGAGCATAAATAAAGATTTTTTTTTTTTTTTAAAGTCTGATATGTATATATAAGCAGTGAGCTTTCAGAAGCACTTGGGATAAAATAGAAATACCATACCACTGTTTTAGGAAGTAATCCCACATAGCCAGAATGTTTATTTGCCTTGTGGTCTAGTTGTATAGGGCTGTCTGTATCAGTTGCAATGCTAGTAACCTGGGAATGAAGGATTTCCTTGAGGTATGACTCGCATGGCAACATTTTGCAAACCAAACAATGATTGCAACTCCTGTCTTGTACAGACTTGACAAATAACAAAACTATAAATTGCTTGGTGTGTTCTGTTTAGTATAGACTTAGTTCCATGTTCTCTAAATCCAATATCATGCCAAAAAAAGGTCAATGATTTAACTATTCATTCTGCTTCATGATATGCTCAAGGATTGCCAGAATCCTTTCTTACAATTAGCAAATGAGGAAACTGAGGATATTCAATCAGCAAAAAATCATCTATGTAGTGAATTACTGTAGGCTCAGGGCCGGATTAACATAGGGGCTGATGGAGCTGCAGCTCCAGGCCCAAGCCCATGAAATAGGCCCATTGATTCAAAAAAAATTTACTTAGGGCCACCTGATGGGCATATCTCTAATGGAGCTCAATCAGTGCTTTGGATTTCCAATAGCTAGACCAGGCCCCTTTAAGAATCCTGGCAGTGCTGGGAGGAAGTGAGCTTAATTCCTCCCAGGTAACACCTGCATGGGAGGAAGCACTGGGGAGTGAGAGGAGGAGAGAGAGCCAGACCCACATCTGCCCCAGCCAGCAAAGTCCACCCTCCTGCAGCCAAAAGGTAGGGTGGACGAACAAACATGTAGTTGTAACCAGACAAGTTCACACAGGAACAGAGGGGTTGAGGGCCCTGCTCAATGAGCTTACATGCTAGAGGGAGTGGGGTAAAGTGACACAAAAGATAAGGATAGTATTAGACTCATGACAGTTGCAAGAGAGGAATCTATTAACAGTTTAATTGATACGCTAAGGAGTGGAGACTGGGTGAGCATCTAACGGAGGAGGGAAGCGAGTTCCACTGGAACGGTGCAGCCCTCGAGAAGTCTTGAAGGTCAGCATCAGAGGTGGGAGTACGGACAGAAGATAGACGTAAGTCTGCAGCAGAGCGTAAGGGCATGCACAGGACATACTTGTGTATTAGGGAGGATAGATAGGTGGGAGTAGCATTATGTAGAGATTTGAAAGCAAGAACCAGAATTTTAAATTGAGCCCTATATCTTATAGGAAGCCAATGTAGGGACTGACAGAAGGGTGAGGCATGGGCAGTGCGGGCGACAGGAAGGTGAGCTTCGCTGCCGCATTCATTATGGACTGTAACAGTGCAAGTTGGGAGCACGTAAGACCACTGAGAAGCGTATTACAGTAGTCAAGGCGAGAAAGGACAGTGGAATGGAAGAGCACCTTAGTCGCATCTGACATTAAGTATGGTCAGATGTGCGCAATGTTTTTGAGATGGAAGCGGCAGGATTTTGCGATATACTGAACATGAGGGGTGAAGGAGAGGTCGGAGTCAAAGAGAACACCTAGACAGCGAGCCTGCGTGGTGGAGCTGATGGTAGCACAGTTGACTTGGAGGGAGACAGACAGAGGAGTAGCAACACTTGAGGGAGGAAAGACCAGAATTTCAGTATTGGTCAAGTTGAGTTTAAGGAAGTGGGCAGGCATCCAGTTAGAAATAGCAGATAGGTACACTGAAGAAAAAGCACAAGACTCAGTTATTGTCATCTCCCTGAGGAATGCAGAGCAGAAACATAAATCTGTCTCTAGATGCTGAAAAAGCTTTCGATAGGGTCAAATGGCTAAACTTATTTAAAGTCTTGGAACACACCGGCATCCCGGCCCAGTTCATTACAGCGCTCCGGGCCATGTACACTAATGTTAAAGCAAGAATCCAGATCTCAGGAGTGAAGGTCGTGCCATTCCAACTGAGCAACGGGACTGGCCAGGGGTGCCCTCTCTCGCCACTATTGTTCGCCCTATCTCTTGAGCCTCTGTTGCGGAAGATCCGAGAGACCCAAGAAATGAAAGGAGTAAAGGTGGGAGGAAAGCAGTACGTCGTTTCGGGATTTGCCGATGATGTTCTTTTAACATTGACAGACCCAAGAGACATGGCCACACTAACAAACGTATTGAAGAACTACAGAGACATAGCTGGATATCAAATAAATTTGAATAAATCTAGCGGACTCCCCGTAGGCATGACTGACTCGGATGCAGCATTTATAGGGAAGACTTACCATATACAAATAGCGAGGGATTATATAAAATATTTAGGAATTAGACTGACAGCGGACCCCCACCCAGTTATTCCAGCAAAATTATACCCCATTGATCCGAACTTTAATGACATGGAGAAATGGCTGGACAAACCGATTTTGTGGATCGGACAGATACACCCAGTTAAAATGAATATCCTGCCAAGTATATTGTTCCTTTTCCAGGCCCTCCCGGTCTGACTGACTAAATCTAATTTGGGGACACTCCGACAGGAAATGGGCAAATTTACTTGGCAGAACAAAAGACCTAGAGTTTCGCTTAATGTGCTTTTTAGAGAAAAGAACAGAGGGGGATTAGGTCTCCCGAATCTTTATTATTACATATCAGCGCAGCTGGCACAGGTAGCACTATGGCACACCCCACTGGAGGAGAAAAGGTGGGTAGACTTGGAGTCCTACCTCCTGGGTACAGACTTACCACAGTTCATGATGTGGATCCCTAGGGATATGGGCTGAGGCAGCTACCAAATATGGCTTGCCGTCGTCCCCCTCACCAATGACCCCGTTTCTGAGGAACAGAGAGTTCCCCCCCAGGAATGATAGCAATGGACTTTAGAGGTATTGAGAACGCTGGATTGAGACATCTCTTCGAAAACGGCTCATTGGTGACGTTCGAGGAGTTGAAAACTAGGGGCCCATTGAGAACTTTTGATTATTTGGGAATACTTACAGTTACGGTTTATGCCCAAGACCCGCAAGTTAAGAAAGCGACCCTCACACAATTAACAAATAATTTGAAGGAATGTGCCTTAGGGAACAATTCCTGAGCGGGCTAATCTCCTACTTATACTCCCAATTGAGTACGCAAACGCTAGAATGGGGACGGATTACATACACAGAACAATGGGAGGCTGACCTAAGCAAGGAATTGGAAAGCATAGAGTGGCAGGAGATTTGGGAGGCCGCATCCCCGGTGTGTGTCTCTTTGCAGGAACAATCATTTAAGACCTTATTCCAATTGTACACTACGCCGGTGAAATTGCTGCGAATGAATAAAATGACCACAGATTTGTGTTGGAGAGGCTGCGGACTACGGGGCACCTATATCCACATGTGGTTGGACTGCCCGATGGCGCAGGCCTATTGGAAACGGATCGCAACGTTAATGGGTGACATTTTTGAAAAAGAGGTCAAATTAGACCCTTGGGTCTTTCTCTTGGACAGATCAATTGAAGATTGGACAAGAGCTGAACAAAACCTATTACATAAACTAACCTTGCATTGGCACTGGTATGGTTACAAAGGGAGACACCCACGATCCCTGTGGTACTGCAAAAAATTTAAAGGTACCTTCCTTATGGACAAGTTAACTGCACAGGTTCGAGGGTCCATGACTACATTTGAAAAGACCTGGAGCCGTTGGATGGCTAGCACAGTCAGTGGCTAGGGGAAGGGCGGGGTAGGTTCCACCCCCCCATATACACCATAAA